ATTATGAGGTCGGGTCAAATCACCCTCCATCAGTTGACTTCAAGAAAGCCCATTCCACCCTGTCATATGCTTTGATGCAAATCTAGTTTGATAGCCATGAAACCATTTTTAGCTTTAGACTGAGCCATTAAGTGCATCACCTCATGGGCAATTAAGATATTATTTGTGATAGTCCTTTTTGGTATAAAAGCACTTTGATTTTTGGATATTATTTCATCTAGAATTGGTTTAAGCCTATTAGCTAAGGTTTTTGCAATGATTTTATATATTGTATTGCACTAACTAATCGGCCTGAATTGGGATGCTTCTTTTGGATATCTAACTTTTGGGATTAAGGCTATAAAGGTGGAGTTCATGGTTTTATTTAGAATGCCATCATTAAAAAAAGATAGCACTTCTTTTACCACATCCTCTTAACAATTTCCCAAAATTTTTGAAAGAAAAAATTTGGGAACCCATCAGATCCTAGAGCTTTCCTAGGAGCCATTTGGAAGATAGCACTTCTTTTACCACACCCTCTTTAGTTACCTCTCTTTGGATATCTGCATTGTTTTCCTTAGTGATTCTGCAATTCACAGCTTCAATAGCAGTGGAGATCTCTGAAGGTGAGGTAGTGAAAACTACCTTGAAGTGGTCCACTAGGATGTTCTTAATTTGATCTTGCCCTTCCATCCACTCTCCATGCTCATTTTTAATTTAGAATTTTGTTTAGAATTTTGTTTTTAGCTCTCCTTTTGATGGGAAAATTATGAAAACATCTAGTATTTCTATCCCATACTTTAGCCGATTCCAAACTCACGTTACTTGAACGGTCTTTAACAAAAATTCCTCTTCGTCAATTTACTTACATCCCCTCTACCCTAGTCTCATTTTTTGATACCTTCATATTAGACAATTTTGTTATATACTTTCCCTCAGTCAATACGAGTAATTAAATATCTTTGATCACTTGTCTATTTTACTTTTAGGGGTGGATTCAAATCAAAAATTTCAAGGGCTATTTGAACGTGGTTCATGAAAAACTTGATTCGGCTTAATTTAAACCAAACTTTGAATCTAATATATAGGGATATTTGCTAATTGAGTCAAACTCAAGTTTAATGAAGTTCAGCTCATAAACCTTATGAGCCAAATCGAGCTTATATTATTAATATTTTTAATTTTTTATATGTATAATAATATATACTTTTTATATGTATAGTTTTTATGCATATAACATTTTGAGTCCAGTCGAATCCAAATTTAAATTAAATTAAAACTTATATTTTTTTCTACCAAGCCAAACTTAAATAACTAAGGCCCCATTTGGTGTATCTTTCTGCATGGTCTTTTGGTTGTTTATAAGCCGAACAGACCACATCGCGGTCTTTTTCCGTTTGATTTGTAACAGATCTAACCGCCAAAAGTCGGTGCGCCAAAAAGACACAAAAGTCCATTTTGGGCTGATTTCTAAAAGTTCCAAATGGAGTTGTTCGTGTCTTTCTCACTTTATTCTCATGTAGAAAGACAAAGAAAGGCACACGATAAACAAACTAGCTTCAGACTACTCAAATCTTTATGCAAAAACTCAATATATCTTTTAACTGTCAAAACTTCTAAAAATATTCTCAAAAAAAATTACCAAACAGCCCCTAAATATTCAATTCAATTCAACTCGAATCCATTCCTATTTACTATTACGGACTTTATTTTATGAAAATGCCCCACTTTTTATTTCGATTGAATGCCCCACTTTTACTATTACGGACTTTTTATTTTATGAAAATTACCAAACAGCCCCTAAATATTCAATCAATTCAAGTTACCTTTCGAATTTTCGATTGAATGGACAAAATTGCAACGAGAGGCATCATTGCAATTTTGTAAACACTGCTATGGTGGTTTATTTCAGAACCCCTGTCCTCTTTAAGCCATTGTCAGAAATATTAAATAGAGGGTCCCATTGTATTATTAGATCACGACTTTCTAAGCATCTGTAAGAATAATATCCATAATATACGAATATATAGAACTTTCGTCACATCATTTCACTTTGTTTTTTGCTTCAACATCATCTGATTGATCAAGCAAACACTTTTGAACAAACCCTTTTTGACACCTGCTAGCCATAGTGATACGATCCAGCCAAACTCAAACCAGCTGGACTCAACCAACTGGACTTGGTTAGGTTTGATTTTTCTCTCTCTCTAATGCTCTCTTATATGCGTTTCTTTCACTTGTGCTTTACTATCAAAATTTATAAATAAATTGAATAAGCATAAATATAAATATCATGATAATACATATTAGTATTAAATTATATTTATTGTACTTCCATCTTTCACTTTGTGCATGAGTGCATGATTTTGGCCCATTCAGATCATATGCATATTGTAAATATGATTTAGAGATAAAATTACCTCTAACCTCAACCATAACTAGAGATATGACTAAGGCCCCATTTGATTTGTAGGAATAGAGTTTGGAATTGGAATCAGAATGAATTGTTCTGATTCTAATTGTTTAATTGGATAGAATCGGAATTTTATTTCCATTTCTACTGGAATAGTATTTTCTCATTTGAGGGAATCGCCATTCCCAACCTCTGCCTTGGGGATGAAATCCCATTCTTACTTATTTATGGGTCATTTTGATTAGATTTTAATTCCGATTCTGATTCTAATTCCCAGTACATCTCATAGAGTTGCAATCCATGGTCCAGAGTTTAATTCATGAAGATGCTCAGGTTGGGTGGGCCAAGCATGTCGTTGGATCTGCGCCCTGTTGCAGCTCTTATTAGTAGAGACCTTTGGTGCATAGGGCCCAGTGGCCCATAATTTAGAATAGGTAGAATATCTCTGCTACGAGATGTGAGACAATCGTAACGTCGCACGGCATGACGCCAGCCGACAAGAGTTTATAACTCACAATTCACAAATGTGTGTGATGGGACATTATGATTAGGCCATGCAATGCAGCCCGTAACATCGTACATTTGGAGCATCGTAGCAGTTCTATGGTCCCGGAACTGTCGCTCTATGTCCTTTCTGAATTCTGCAGTGTTTGTTTTCACGTGCGTGGTATAAGCGAGTTCGCACAGGCGCCCCATATATACATCTCAGCGTGCATTTGAAACATTTTGGAATGCATTGTGGATGGTACCTGGAGTACGCTCTGTGGGGGTGGAGTGCAGATGTGAATTCGGTATAAGCAGGCTGGATTTTCTACCCGACATGAATTGCGACCATACATCATCTTGAACTATGAGATGTGTGGATGCAATCCACGATGGATAAAATATGGATAGAAAAAGTGAATAGAAAATTTGGGTTCATAATAATATTATGAAGAAAAATCCTACTATCTCATAAAAGAAAATTTGTTGAATAGATTGAGGTAGGGCATCCATTAAAAAAAATAATAAAAATAAGGTTGTAATTGGATTGGATTCAATAAAATCAGAATCTGATGTAATTACTGAAAAATTGCATTTGAATTCTGATCTTAATGGATTCGGATCATATTTGGATTTACTATGATTCTGCTTTAATTTTTTACAATATAAAAAATTAAAAATTGATTACTTTTCAACTTTTATATATAATAAATTAATGTAAATATAACATATTGAGTTTATTATATATATTCATATATAATATAATATAATATAAATATATTTTTATAATTATATAAAATTTATATATTAAAATCAATAAATATTATAATATAATCATATTTTGATTTTAATTGAATGACATGGAACTAAATATGAATCTGATCCGATTGTTAATCAGATGTAAATCATAAAATTTAAATTCAATTTGATTATATAAACACATAATCTGAATATGAAATAACTGGTTCAAATTTGGATCAAATTGCGGATTTTTGGGCATTATTAACAGGCCTAGAAACATATGTGGATAATAATTCAATGCAATGCATGAGATAAAATTATATTTGGGGTGGATCCATCAAATTAAGGCTGCAACTTGAGTCGGGTTGGCCCTAACCCAATGGCTTGGGTTGGATTGATGATCGGATTAGGGTTATGGTTTAAATTTATGAACCCAACTTTATTTCGGGTTGGGTTAGGATTGACCCCTTGGGTAACCCAGCCCAATCTGAACTTAACTATATAGTACATATCATATATAAATATATGTTATATATACGGAAAAGTATGGATTTGCCCAATGCATATTTCTAATTTATACTACAGGGTTATAAGCATTCAAATGGACTGATACCTACACTCTATGCATCCACGCTGGCCCGTGAATTGGCATCAATTCCGAGCTGGCACCTACCCCAACCGTACACTAAACCTACAAATTCTGACACGGGGGCTATCGGTCATTCTCCCTTATATAAATGATATACACTGATTTGCTTAGATGCATGATTACTGTATAGTCCCCTCTACATACTATCATTTATTTCTTTTAAGATAATCATTTCACTTAATCCTAATAGGATTATATGTAGTGAAAATTGAATTAAGATTTGAGATTAAGAAGTTCAAGGAATGGAAAGAAGGTTGGGTTGGGCCCTATCCGAAGTTGACTTTAGATTGGGTTAGATTAAGTTAAGATTAGGATTGAGATTAAGAAGTTTAAGGAATGGAAAAAATGTTGGGTTGGGCCCTACCCGAAGTTGACTTTGGATTGGGTTGGATTTAAGTTAGGATTAGGATTGGATAGATCGGATTAAATTAGGGTTAGGATTAGGGATTTAAAACTTAGGATTAGAGTAGGATTTGCCTCAAATTATGGGGCTTTAATTCATACCCGCTAAGGACGGGAATAGAGTATGTTAATCTACAGGGATGCGTATGATATCCATTTACCCGAATTAAATATATAATAGTTTTTTTTTTTTTTGGAGAAAACTATATCACTTCAACGTATAAAACTTTTTTTTCAACTAGTTTGAGACTTTGAGCGTTGTGTTTGGCCAAGCACAAGCATATTTTGCTCACCTGCCTGATTTTGGTATAATCCTTTTCTTTTTCACAACAGGTTAGAGTCTGTGGGACCACAGCCTACGTGGCACAGACGTCGTGGATCCAGAACGGAACCATCCAGGACAATATCCTGTTCGGGTTGCCAATGAACACGGAGAAGTACAGGGAAGTGATCAGAGTATGCAGCTTAGAGAAGGACCTGGAAATGATGGAGTTCGGAGACCAGACAGAGATTGGAGAACGCGGGATCAACCTCAGTGGTGGCCAGAAGCAGCGCATTCAGCTCGCTCGAGCCGTCTATCAGGACTGCGACATCTACCTCCTTGATGACGTCTTCAGCGCCGTCGACGCTCAAACGGGATCGGAGATATTCAAGGTGACTATCGCTTTCCTGTTTACAAAGGCTCTGGACCGCCCCGGTTCACTTAACCAGAGGAGAATGCCGGTCCGATAAGTTCCTTTGCAACAGCCAACAACTCGGTTATCTTTCTCTCTTATAAGCTCTTTTCTTTTATTAAAATTGCAGGAATGTGTGAGGGGAGCTCTCAAGAAGAAGACCATCTTGCTCGTAACCCACCAAGTTGACTTCTTGCGCAATGTCGATCAAATCATGGTTAGTGTGCTCTTTGCTTCTGATCATTTTCTATCTGGTTCATTATTTGGTGCATGTCTGTATAAACTTTCCAGTCCTATATATATATGTATAATGGAGTTTCAGTCACCGGCAGCCATGCCAGTTACATCTTTCTTTTACGTGAATCTGAAAGAATAAATGCACTCGAATTAAAAAATGAAGTCTCTGTTGTTTCTTCTGATCATTTGCTTACAACCAGGTGATGCGAGATGGAAAGATCGTACAATCTGGAAAATATAACGGCCTGTTAGAATCTGGAATGGATTTCAGAGCGCTCGTAGCTGCCCATGAAACGTCTATGGAACTGGTAGAGAATGCAACTAACTCGACTGACAATTCCCAGCAGCAACCATCTCCCAAAACGCCCCGAGACTCTCCAACCCCAGGGCCAGGGGAACCCAATGGCGTGAACGGGTCTGTGGAGCGACCCAAGTCTGAGAAGGGTAGCTCAAAGCTCATCAAAGACGAAGAGAGGGAAACCGGCAAAGTCAGCTTACTGGTGTACAAGCAATACGGCACTGAGGCGTATGGATGGTGGGGAGTGGCTGCCGTGTTGATAATGTCTCTTCTGTGGCAGGGATCTCTGATGGCAAGCGACTATTGGCTAGCATACGAGACTGCAGCCGATCGTACGGCATCGTTCAACCCCTCTACTTTTATTAAAATCTACGCGTTAATCGCTGGTGTTTCATGTGTGTTGATATTGATCAGAGCTTTCCTCGTCACTTACTTGGGGCTTAAAACAGCTCAGGTTTTCTTCAACCAAATTCTACATAGCATACTGCATGCTCCCATGTCTTTCTTTGACACCACTCCTTCAGGAAGAATTTTGAGTCGGGTGAGTCTGGTCACTCCTTCATCTTTTCCATTAAACCATGGCGCTCATTCTACTATTTGGCAAACAATGTTGTGGATGAACAAATAAAATTGCAAAATTATGTCTAATGAGTCTTTTTTTTCGATCCTTTTATGCAGGCGTCAACAGATCAGACCAACATTGATTTGTTTCTTCCCTTCTTTATGGGCATTACTATTGCTATGTACATTACATTGCTCAGCATCATTTTCATCACTTGTCAGTATGCTTGGCCAACAATCTTCCTCATAATTCCACTAGGTTGGCTGAATTTCTGGTACCGGGTATGTGAACACTCTCTTCAACATCAGCCCTCATTTTACTCTTGTACATCTTTTCAAAGTTGCACATGCACGTTGGCTGCACTGGTTCAGGGGTGTCAAACTGTCAATTGGACTGGATTTGGTCCAATCCAATCTGATCCAATACGAGTCCATTACAAATGGGCCAGGTCCAATCCAATCCAACCTGGTCTATTGACACTTAAAACATATTCGTATCTTCTATCAATGGAACAGATATTGGTTCAAATCTCACCCAAACTAAAATACACCCATTACGGATGGACCAGGTCCAATCCAATCCAATAAATACTTTGGACCATTAAGTCTGGACTGGTCCAATTCAATATGTCTTAATTGATTTTGATTTAGACGGGCCCGACCCAACAAAACTAGTCTGATTCTACACTGGGACACTGTGAGCCCTTGTAAACTCTGTTGCCTTTACCAAACAATGCATCACTACACTACGCACCCAAATGTGGATTCCATCATGTATATGGAATCACTCATTATACGGCATCCAACTGGTTCATTCTTTTTCGAGAGTCCTAGATAACTGTCATCAAACTGCATGTGCACAGCCTTAGCAATTGGCCTCATATAATCCATTCTTTCAGTACACTGTCATGTGAAACTTTCATGAGAGACTAAAAGTTGTCATTTCCAAGACTTACTTTTATTCTTTAAGAGTGCAGGGATACTTTCTTGCATCATCTCGAGAGTTGACTCGCCTTGACTCGATCACAAAAGCTCCAGTTATCCACCATTTCTCAGAAAGCATCTCCGGAGTTATGACAATCCGAAGCTTTAGAAAGCAGGCAAGGTTTTGCCAGGAGAACGTTGACAGGGTGAATGCAAATTTACGAATGGACTTCCATAACTTTGGATCTAATGAATGGCTGGGCTTCCGCTTAGAATTGATTGGGAGTGTCATCCTTTGCATTTCCACTGTTTTCATGATCTTCTTGCCCAGCAGTATTATCAAGCCAGGTACTTGTATACCAACACATGCTTTTCTTATTATTTTTACAGCATACACAAGACCCTCAGACCCTGTGAGCTGTGAGCCATCTCACACTCATACTCATCTATAGTTATATGCTAACATTCTTTTTCTCTCAAGTTTTTTTTTTTTTTTAATTTGCAATTTACTTGTTTTCTACTTGTAACTTTTCCATGTATCAGTTTGCGTTATAGATTCTTGCAGTGTAATTTGTACTAGATAACTTTTAATCGCATACCCAATATTGTATATGGGATAACATGTATGCATGTTTCAATGTTTTGGGTTTTGATGAGAAAGTGTACCCTCTAAGACCAATAGGTACCAGCCTTTAATGTTTTAATAAGGAGTTGATCCATGCATGATGGATGTCTGCACCGTTCTTATTGATTAATGTAAATTATTTCCAATCAGAAAAGTATTTGTTTCTTGTAAATACTGATTTCTTGTTTAATATGATGTAGAGTATGTTGGATTAACTCTCTCCTATGGTCTATCTCTCAATGCGGTCTTGTTTTGGGCGATATACATGAGCTGTTTGGTGGAGAACAGAATGGTTTCAGTTGAGAGAGTAAAGCAGTTCACAAATATTCCATCTGAAGCAGAATGGGAGATCAAGGACTGCCTTCCTTCTCCAAATTGGCCTACTCATGGCAATGTTGATCTCATAGACTTGCAGGTAAAGGATCTGAAGATTTAAGGGGCACCTTGACTCGTGCAAGCATGCTGCACCAAAATTCCACCTAGCTAGTTGTATTTTTTGGAGGATTTTTCTAACAATTAGTTGCTGGGTTATTGGTTAACAGGTTAGATATCGACCAAACACTCCCCTGGTTCTTAAGGGTCTCACTATTAGCATTCGTGGAGGAGAGAAGATCGGTGTAGTTGGCCGAACTGGGAGTGGAAAATCAACTCTGATCCAAGCTTTGTTCAGGCTGGTGGAGCCTTCTGGAGGGAAAATAATTATTGATAGGATCGACATTTGCAAGCTAGGTCTTCATGATCTCAGGTCGCGCTTTGGAATTATTCCTCAAGAACCTGTCCTTTTCGAAGGGACTGTCCGGAGCAATATTGACCCTGTTGGGCTGTATACAGATGAAGAAATATGGAAGGTAACTCTGTCTTTCCAAATATTATTAGTAATAGTGTATGTACAATTCCAGTTTCCTTAAGCTCCGTTATATTTCTAGAACTTGGTTCCTATGCTGACAGTTTGGAGCTTTTCCCTTCTGCAGAGCCTTGAACGCTGCCAACTAAAAGATGTAGTGGCTGAAAAACCTGATAAACTTGATTCTGCAGGTCTCTCTCTCTCTCTCTGATTATATTATTTTCCGCTTTAAATCTTCTTCTGTTAAACTATATATCTTCCATTTTAAAGCCTCTTCTGTTACTTATGGGTGCAAAACTTTTCCACCTTAGTGGTTGATAATGGTGACAATTGGAGCGTGGGACAGAGGCAGCTTCTCTGTTTGGGGAGAGTGATTCTGAAGCGCAGCCGAATTTTGTTCATGGATGAAGCAACAGCATCTGTTGACTCACAAACCGATGCCATAATCCAAAGGATCATCAGAGAGGACTTTGCAGCCTGCACAATTATTAGCATTGCTCACAGAATACCCACAGTTATGGACTGTGATAGAGTGTTGGTTGTCGATGCTGGTATGCCTTCACAACCTTACTTTTGCATATCCTAGTATCGAATCATGTAATTGATGGGGTATTGCTTCATATTTAGACTACAAGACAGTTGAATACATGGTGACAAGTATTGCTACTTCTAAATCTCATTAGTTTGGTTGAGTATTCTCAATTCTGCTGTAACTACTTGACTTGGCACAGATGATCTATGGTTGGCTTGTAGTTCTTGATGTAAGTGGATTTAGTACAGTAAATAGATTTGATTGGACGTGAGACAATGTTTAATCTGTGTTAAATTGACAAATCATGGAAACTCTAAAATTTTGTTTCTAAAAACACTTGTCTCTCTCCATTAATGTCAGCTATTAAAACTTCAAAGCTTCACAGCTGAATAGGAAAAGAAAAGGGAAATAAGCAAGTGAATGAGCCTTTCTGAGGGACAAACAGACTGTCCAAGATATTGTCGTAGTTCTGCACTTAATACTTCATAATTGTTGTCTGCAAGCTGCATAAGCTGTTCCTTGAATAGCATATTTTCTCTGATTTTTTTTGACGCCACATATTTTCTATGATGATGTTGCTAAGAATATGAAATTAATATCTGCTCTTTTTTTTCTATACAGGACAAGCTAAAGAATTTGAAAAACCATCTCGCTTGCTTGAAAGGCCCTCACTCTTTGGAGCATTGGTTCAGGAGTATGCCAACCGGTCCTCTCAACTTTAGACATCAGTTGGCCAACTTGGCCGACAGCTGCTTCTGGTGCTATTGCCATCACTACCAAGCAGTAGACGTCGCTTGCCTTTCTTTGATGGGTTCACCAAGAATCAACATTGATGGAAGATTGGCGACTTTTGCAAAGTCTTATCCCAATTGTTCAATCTGAACCAGTAATTGACAAGCCTCTGCAATTATAGGAGGGCAAGAATGAAGGAAATGTTCTATGGAATGGATGCTCCAATACTATGAATCTTCTAATAGAATACAAATTAAGTTTTTTAAGAAAAAAAAAGATCTCTAATATGGCAAATAGTAGATTAGCGAAATAGTTGCTGAAAAACTAAATCAATTGATCATCTAGACTGCTAATTCGGGGGGAGGGAGGGAGAAGAAGCAGCTTCATTCAGTAAAGAACTGGACATGCAAGACAGTTGAATACAGAGTTGTAGCTTATAGCCACTTTACATTTACAAGCGAAATAAACGAATATGTGAGCAACTTGGTTCAGTATTCTATTAACATGAACAAAAAATGTAGATTGGAAATTCTTGTTTGGACTGTTGATGCGAATCCAGTGAAACTGCTTTATCCATGTCATAGGTCTGTTCCTGCTATTCAAAAGGTTTATATAAGTCTCTGAGAGCCAGAATGAATGATCAACTTGCTAAGATTAGAATTAAAAGCTGCTTCCGAGGTGCATACTAAGGCTCTAATTTCCGCATCATAGTTGTCTGCTGCCCAACATGGCTTTCCTTTAACAATGGTTGGATTGGTGGAATGCATTGAAGGATGAAGGCGAGTCCTCCAGAACTTGTAAAAGGGTCATAAGAACCATCAATATGTGGATTAAAGCATGATCTGATTTTATGCTACAGTTGAGTTTGGCCATGTAAGATCCTAACTAGTGTTTCTTTCACTAGCTAGTAACATAAGTTGAAACTTTGTGAATGACTTCCAATTGTGATGGCTTTGAGTTTTCAAAAAGCAATTTATTGCTTGCTTCCCAAATTAAATATAAGAGCACAAAATTTGCAAAAGAAGCCAGAAATCTCTTATTTGCTGTATTGTAATCTCATTCCTGTGTAAAAACTGACAATGAAGATTTCCCTCTAAATTGGTGTGTAATAAACTGGTACAGAAAAAATCTCCAGTTTGATCTTGGATTGGAATCCATTTTGATCATTTTGTCTTAACTAATATTCCATCCCATATATAGTGCATTCCAAGTAAAAACTTGGAAATGGTAGGGAATGTTAAGTTTCCACAATAGATTCCAAGTGAAATGAGTGGATGATGAAGACAGCAAGTCACTTAAGAAAGATTTGTACATTGACTTTACTTTATAAATGCCTAAACTATTCCTCTTCCATCTAGATGAAGCAAATTAATCTGTTACTTTAAGGTTCAGGAGATGGTGAAGTGCATCATTGCTTGGTTTTGGGACATCATTGAAGGAGGTTGGGTGTTAATTCCTGAATTAAGCCATGGGCTTGCTTCCACAATAGGGAGTTTTGTCTTCCTTTTCTTGCGGTGAAGATAGATTGATTAGAAAAATATTTTTCCTTGTTGACACCATGGAGTGCTACCTTAGGAAAGCAACCACCAAATCTGCTTTTGAACATTGCTATAATTCTATAAAGCCTAGAACACCAGCTGATTTAGGAAGGCCTAATTTAGGCCATTAGATAATGTGCTTTGAACCATGTGAGTCAGCTTTCCACCACAAATTTCTTGAGAGTCATCCATTTGCAGAAAGACTCTGGGGAGAATAGTAGTGCCGTATATTGGCAACTATAAACTATGAAGTAAGGTAATCTTCTAACATTATATGTGAGGTTTGACATGTATTTTTTATGTCATCTACCCAAAAAAACAAGCTTATTTGTTATGTTATTCTATTTGTTAGGGGTATCCACGGTTCGGTTAACTGAACCATGGGCATATTTTGTAAATCGAATTGGTTGTACCGGTTTTTCCATTTCTCAGAACTAAAACTGGACCAGTACCACCGGTTAACCGGTTCGTTTGGTTCTTCGTTTTTTTATATTTTATAATATATATTATATTATATTATAAATAATAAATGATATATAATATATTATAAATATTTTAAAATATATAATATATTTATAAATAGATTATTACAAATATAATATAAGTATATATTTATATATATAATGAATATATATTTATATATAATATATAAAATATGTGAAATATATTAAAAATATATATATATATATATATATAATATACATATAAATATATATACCGGTTGGTTCAGTTAACCACCAATTTTTTTCTAGGTTAACCGAAAACCGAACCGGTCCTTCAATTTTTCAAAAATTCCAAACCGAAACCGAGCCGATTGGTTCGATTAATAGCATTTTGCGGTTCGGTTTTTTAGCTTTTCGGTTTTCCATGGACACCCTTACTATTTTTTACCTCTAATAAAAAAAACCCTATAGAACCCATGCCCAACAAATGATAATTTTCTACTTTAAATATTAATTAAAATTTTCAAAGGGAATTTCATAATGACTACAAGGAAGCTACCAAATGTCTTTGATCTATATCCTAGTAGGATATTTCTCTTCAATATCCTTATTAAGATTAATCACAAATCAAATCCAATTTAGCTTATTGATTCAAATAAAAATCCAACACAGTGCTTTCAAAATATTTTATAATGCCAGCCCCATCTATCTATATTATATACCAAAACAATGTTTCTATAAAAAAAAAATTAAAGCAATGTATGCATGTCATATGGCCTCTCCTTGCTCCAAACCTCCCTTCTAATTCCCCCTATTTTGAATTTTCTTTTTTTATAAGTCTACATCACTTTTAAAACGATATCGTAAAATAAGTAGTAATCTAATTGTAAAATAGGTATAATCACTAAACCTGCTCAATAAATTAAGTAAGAATCTAATTGTACCCATTCAAAACCTTACAAACCAATTTCTTAACTTAGCCCTAAGTACCATAATTATTGTAGATTTAATTATTACCAAATTAAATTAGCTCATTAGTTCATTTAGTTAACTCAAATCTATACAATTATAAAAAAGTACCAATGAGGGTGTGGAACATTTCTTGACTAAAATGCCCACATTTGTTATTTAGTCCATATCTAATTATGAAGGTTGAAAATGTAATTTCAATTAATGGGTTTCACCTCATTTAATCCCCTCTCATTAACTCTTGTATTTAAGGTATTAACTCTCATTCTCTCTTATTAAATCCCATATTTAAGTTATTTTTTCACTAATAAATGCTACTAATTAGATCTATGTCCAATACTTTTAACAATATAAACCCATATGCTTTAAAACTTACACAAAAACAAAATCATTCTTTATCCAAGTGATGAATAAGAAATTCAATTATCTGAATCAAATTGGCCAACCCATGAAATCATAGTCATATAATAAATTTTTTAAATAGAAATAAATATAGAAAATTACAAAAATGTAGAAAAAATAGACACATTTGTGATATTTTTTATTAATCAAATTAAAAAATAACAAGTTTAATAAAAAAGAATTATTTTTATTGATGATGAAAATGAAATACATAATCTAAAACTAACCAAAAATGAAATTATTTTCTTGTTTAGCAGAGATCAATAGTTCAATCGTTGGGTCACATTTTTCAACCTTTAATGTCTTAATTAAATAATAAAAATTAATAAAATATGAAAAAACACAAAGATAAAAAAAATACATAAATTTTACAAAAAAAAACATTTGGGCACATGTATTATATCATATTTATCATATTAAATAAAAATAAGTGTACATAACAATATTATTTTTACATAGATAGAAATAAAAAAAAATTATAGAAATTTTGAACACGTCTATAACTCCATATTTAAACTACTATTAAAAATATGAATAAGATTATGGAACTTTCTTTTGACTAAAATACCCATTTTTTAATTTAATCACTATTTAATTATGAGGTTTAAAATGTAGTTTGAACTACAAATTTCACCCCCATTTAATCCCTCTCTTTAAATCTTTTACATTTTTTTATATAAATGAACAAAAAAAATATATATAAACTAAGAAGATAAAACATTACAAAAAGAAGAGTCCAACCAAGTGAGTAGGGTTGTTAATGATATCCGAAACCAAGGTTTTTAAAACCGAACCAGACAACGAAACGGTCAAGGGTCCGGTTCCTAGGTCGAACGGTCCGACCGCTCAAACCAAACAGACAACCCGTTCTAACAAAAAAATTAAAAATAAAAAATAGCCAGAATCGTTGGATAGTTCAAACGATTTGACTGCCTGGGTCAGCGGTTTGTTGACCAAATCAATGGTTTTTGTCAAAATAACGGTTCTGGGGTAAAACGGAACTAGTCACTTGACCGGTTCCCAGATTTTCTGGTCTAGTCTGGTTTTGAAAACCATACCCCAAACTTTGTAGCCCAATATGAGGTGCTTACGTAGTTAGTTTCAAATTTTGCAATCTGCATTCGATTAATAGTGAAAAACAAAAAATATAAAAAAATGCATGAATTTTATAAAAAAAATTTGGATACATTATTCCTATCATTATCATCATCTAAAATTGCCACGTGCAAAGCACGTGCGCACTTACTAGTTATCCTAAATGGGCTTAAATAAAATTAGATTAATGTAAATTAGCTTATGTTAATTTAAATTAAATCAAATTAATGTGATTTAACTTAAAATAACTTAAGTTAACTATATTAACAAACCAAATTAATTAATTATCCTAATTAATAAACTTTATTGTTTTCAATTCTTTAAGTAACCTAGCTTTCTTTAAGTGAATAATTAGTTAACTTAATTTACTTAAATTAGTTAAGGTTAATTATGATTAACTAACCTAGTTAAATAATTTGGTTATGTTAATTTTTTAACTTAACAAACTGAGTTATTCTTAACATAGATTAATTAACTTAAATTATTAATTATTCAACTAACATTGAATAAAGTAAAATTGTAAAGAACCTTAACCCAATTGACTAAATGAACCTTAGTTAACATAATTGGCATAATTAACCAATAATCTTAGTTGACTTAAGCTACCTTAATGGATTTGTTTTTTTTTTTTTTTACTTTAGTTGATGGATTCAATTAACCTAATTACCTCAATTAACCTTAATAGACTTAACTAACCTAATTAATATAATTAACTTAATTATCCTAATTAAACTATTTAACTTAATTAATCTAACTAAATTACCTAATTAACTTAATTATGAAATTAAGCCTAACTAAATTAACTAATTAGCTAACCAACTTAGACCTATTAACATAATTAACCTAATTTAATTTAATTACCTAATCCTGACTAACCAAATTAACTTATTAGTAATTAACTTAAGGTAATTTAATTTAATTACCCAATCCTAACTAATCCTGACCTATTAACATATATATATATATATATTGAGGTTTGAGGAAACTACTTACATATACCTTGCAGTTTTAAAAACTACTAACATATACCTGGTTGACCTTTCAAACATTAAAGGCCCATTTGATTTGTGGGAATAGAGGTTTGGAATCAAAATTGGAATGGGCATTCCAATTCCAACTGTTTGGTTGGTTAGAATCAGAATCCCATTTCCATTCTTGGTGGAATGGCA